AAACTAACATAACTATGGAAAATCACAATTCTTAATGGAAAATCCACTATAAATGGCCATTTTCAATAGCTATGTTAAATTACCAGAGGGTATATTTTGTATATATATATATATATAATCAATTCATAAGCTTTTTGACAATATCACGGCAAAGTAATATCATCGATATCAATACACATATAATCAGCTCGTATCATGAAAAAATAACATATCAGCGGTCCGTATCACGAAAAAGTGCAACTAAAAAATGCATATCAATAGTTCACATCATGAAGTTGTATCACAAATGAGTATACAAGTGTTTTATTGTATCACCAACATAAGCTCAAATTCTCCATTCCTCTCATCTACTTCCAGCAAAACTCCAACTTGTTCCAATCAGTGGCTTGGTTTTGTCGGGAAAATACTGGAAACCCCATATTGTTGATGGAACAAACATATGTAAACCAACCCATTCATCACATTTCACCACGTTTGATGGTTACCCTCTGGTTATTTAACATAGCCATGGAAGCCATGGCCCATTGAAATATATAGATGGTTTAAAAAGTTTAGCTATTAAAAATGGTGGATCTTTCCGTGGCAAACTGTCAGTCATAACCAGATGGCAACTCCAATTTTTCCCTACGTTTTTTTTTGGGGCTCCACCTGGTACCCTCTGGTAATTCAACAGTTCGCTATTGAAAATGGCCATTGATTTCGTGACTTTTCCCATTAAACATGGTGATTTTCCCATCAGTTATGTTAAATTACCACCTGGTATACTTCACCAAGCACCGACTTTGGGCATCAGACCTGGCCAGGATACTCGCGTGATTCTGGTGCTCTTGGCCACTGAGGTCGAGTTCATGTTCGCATTGACTCGGGGCCGGAAATCCATGCGGGAAATACCTGGTGAAATAGCTGACAAAAATGGAGGTTTCAATGGAAAAATCATGGAAAATAACTATATTGGAAAATCAACTTTTTGTCTATTTTTGATGATTTGATGAGTTTGATGATGATCTCACCATGATTTTCCATGATTTTCCATGGTAGGGAGATGTTTCTTTCCAATCTGGATGAATTTGATGATGACCTCACCTACCTCACCTCGCGGCGCCACTGGAATGATGGCAATTGGATAAACTGGGAAGCATCCCCAGTTCTTTGATATCGTGAATTGTTATAGTTCAGCATATGGATCATATGGTGGTCTTAGAATGGGGGATGCCCGAAACCATGGTTTTCAATACCAAAATGGTCTAATGACTTGGATGATTTTGGGGTACTCTCATGACTTAAAAAGTTGGATTGTATACTTGCGGGCCCAGTCCTATTGCGCACGCAAGGTTATGTAAAGTAACAAATGACGTATATTTGGATAATGTTGTGGGACTTGATGTCTCCAAAGTAGTGGTTGGAGGAAACTGGATTGTTTAAAATGATTTTAGACATGACATGCCAAATTTTGTTACCTGTTGTTTGCTAGACCCCGGTGCTGCCTTATGCTCTGTCACGCAGCACGGCTCAGGAATTGGCAGCACAACCGCATCAGCGATGGCCAATTTACAGTGCTTTGACGGGGTCTGAACCAAAGTGTACAAAACTGGGCCAGAATGCGTTAGATAAATCAGTATTTACATACACTTTGGTAATTTAATATATTTAACGTAGGTATAGAACATCACCATTCCCAACAGGTAAACCATCATGAAGCAATATAAATCATCTAATTATATATAAAGGGGCAATTTTCCAAAGCTATGTCAAAAAACCAGAGGGTACCTATGTTTATCTATGTGATTCTATGTATGCCAGTGTATCCTGTTGTCTCAGAATTTTGAACACGTCAGCGAAGCTTGTTGGGGATCCCATTTTTGCAGAGGTGTAAACCTGGATGTCCCAACAATGAACCATCCTTAACGCCAGAGATGGGTTGCCTAAATCATCTCCAATTGGAGGGCTATGGCATTGAAGGGTTACGGTATTGGGTTTGCTACATGAACTTGGTGTATAATTGTAGGAATGGCATTTGAATCTAGTTATCTTCACTAGATCGGTTCACTTACCCATCCCATTTCATCATTTCATTTCAGTTTCGATTCAATTCAAATGCATCTATGTATGTAGTACATGCTTATAAGGCCCATTGGTCGGGGAGTGTAGGTAATGCTGAACTTTGGTGTGTATATGTATATATTATAATTGCATTTAGAGATCTTTCAGAAGTGATTTATTTTAATTAATGTCAAAAACATTGCAACATCGCCACTGAGGTGGAGGCAGATCGCAAAGTGGTGGTACAACTGGGCCATTTGGCACTGCAGTGCCGCGTGGCCATCAGCGAGTCGCAGGGAGATGAGGGGAGCACCTGATTGAATCTAGATGATTTTCATTGAGTTTCCTTAGGGTTAAGGATGGTCCATTTTGATATCCCAAGTAGTTCAAGTAGTTCAAGTAGTTCAAGTGCCTAAAAATGAAAAGAAATGCAAGTCTAGCGAAGTCATTACCCAAATTTTACGCCAGACCCAAGGGTTGTGAGGGGTATTGATGTCAACTGGAAACTTGGGAAGCCTGAAATTCATAGACTCCAAGTTCTCAATGAACTGGATGATGCTGATGCTTCCAGACAAAAAAAAACGTGAGGGCCATCTCCAGTGTCGACAAAAACTGTTTTTTTTTAGCGATGCTTATCCAAAAATATATATGGGAACTGGGGGGAAAAACGTGCACCATAGGAAGTATATATGTGTTATAACGCATGCAAGTTTCTTTGTGCTTTTTTGACCCCCCCTCCTCCAAGATGGAGGAACGCGCAAGGTTAAATTGAGCAGCTCTCAAAGATTGGGCCTTTGAACTCCTATCGCCACCTGGTGGCACCGGGGGAAAAAAACAATGGACACATACGGTGGTCTCCAACCAGTCATTATCAGATGGAAAATCACCACTTTTAATAGGTAAATATAGGTGAATCACCTGTACTGGTTGGTGCTTTGGAACATGACTGGATGATTTTTCCATAGATTGAGAATAATATGGAATAATCATCCCAACTGACTTTCATATTTTTCAGAGGGGTTGAAACCACCAACCAGTATATGATGTTCCATGGTTAAACATGTTGTGGTCTGTCTATACCACCAACTGATTACCTGCGATGGTGATCCAACATGCCCCACGAATGAGTAATTATATGATACATGACACAATTCTGGGCATAGAATGGGACATGATATAATTGGGTGATAATGGGGGATTAACAACACCAATGGGGGGACATTAGGAAACAACATGAAACAACATAAATTGGGGGCCAACCAGTCAACCACATCTACAATTGGAACATATTGGAACTTAATACAGCATCCGCCATTATCAGCCACAAAGACGCGGGCTATTACAAATCATCCCCAGCGCTTGGGCGGACAGAATTTCATTGGGAGATGGTTTATTGTTATGGACTCCCAATGCAGCCAAAGTCTCATTTAATGCCGAAAACGTTCAAACTAGTTAGACCACACGCGGTTTACGCAAGGAATGCTATACCACAAAGCTCGTGTTGTCATATTTTAATGATCACATCGTTTTTTTTTTTTAAATACATGTTTAAAACCATCACATAATCATTGGCCCTTAACCTCCAGTAAACAAACATAACTACGGTTAAAATCGCCATGTTTGAATAGGTAAGCCGCTTGTAAGTCATCTATTTAAAGTTTGCTATTTTCCATAGCGTTTACTGAGTTTGTTTACCGCTCATGTTTTTTTGCCACCTGGAATGGCCCCACAAGTTTCTCTAAACGTTGACTCGTTTGGCGTTTTTGAGAAACCCGCAAAACCTTTGGCATGGTAAATTCACCGTTTTCAACACATATTGAATGCATAGTATATATATATATATTTAATATGTATTATATGAGAACCGGTAACGCATTATTCACCCACATTTGCCAACGAAAGGACCTACATGTGTAGATCGAGGATTCTATACCGCCTCGATGCCACGGCTCTTCGACCAGGTCAGCGGGTGGTCATTGGGGAAATGGTGATGAGACTGCCGGAACTCAAAGTGGTGGCCAGTTTGAATTATACACCGGACAATTCACATAAATTATAATTACTGGCAATTTCTGGTTGGTGGTTTGGAATGTGTGGAACATGAATTTTATTTTCCATATCATATATTGGGAATTTCATCGTCCCAACTGACGAACTCATATTTTTCAGAGGGGTTGAAACCACCAACCAGATTATTGTCTTTTTTGGGGGACGGAGGATGGCCATCAACTGATGCTCATCAGGTTGCACAACCACAGGGGAGTTAAGCACCAAAAAGTCGGTGATGTGCTTAATCCATGATGCTTATTGAATTGTTCCTGTGGCCATGGCTGGTGAAAGAGTTGCCATTTTTCTTGAGCAAACATGGCTGGAAAGTAACCCCTTAGTAGACGATTAATTAGTCTAATTAATTACTGAGCATGGGTATGGGTTGAATGGGTCGAATGTCCGCCCGCCAATGATAAGACCCTACTGCTCAAGCCGCTTCAGCCATTGGCTAGGTGACAAATCCATGAAAATGTGCAGATTCTGAGCTATTGTCGTAGAAAACTGCTGGAAAGCTGCTAGGAAGAAGCGGGGTTAATGTCGTAAAGCCAGTAATCCCCGATATCACCAGACATGGATGGCATACACTCCCCCAAAATTGGAGATAACAAAACATGTAGCATGACCGCAATCTTCAACTCTTGAGCTGATTGTAGTAGGTCATTCAGTGGAGCCTATCATTGACAAGCATTGGATGGTTTAAAGTGGTTTAATCAGTAAGGCAACTTTTAGAACAATGTCTGACAACTGAATGAACCAACAAAGCATTAAGACCAACTACAGTATATGTTAATAGGTAATAAATTGTAATACTACATTTGTATGTGTATATATATATATATGCATATATATATATATATACGGATACGGATCTATGTTTTGACCGCTGTTTGTTCCACCCAAAAAGATGTGCCATGCTTTGGCGCTTCACTGTGACCTGGATTGGTTGGATCCCTACGCACCATGCGGGCCGCGATGGCCGCGGTGTGGAACGCACGGTGCATCAGCAGTTTTGGTCCGCAAAGCCCGAGACTTGGCCCCCGGAGTGGCGAAGTTTCAGCGGCTTCTGGCAGAGGAGCAACTGGACATGGCGATTTTGGACCGATGAGGTGCCGGAAACATGGGGAGTTTCGAGGGTAGAGAAGGTAAGGGAGAAATGCTAATCTGGGTGATGTTTGTTGCATTGCCAGGTTAGCCATGATCACCAGGTGAATCCACAATCGGACCGCCAAACTTGTGATGCACAGGGCCGGCGCCTTGAAACCCCTGGGAGTCCGAGGATGAAGAAAGATTGTTTGCAGAAGAGCTACCGGAGTTTGAGGAGTTGTACCACTGGATTCCCAACTGCTTCCTGGCGGTGTGTGGTTTGAGGCATGTTTGTTTCTTTTCCAAGCCCCCTGCATATATCCCCCCTACAAGTCCCGGGGCCTTCAAGATTGTATTTTGGCCACATGCTCTAGTTCCAAAGCTCTGGTTCCAAAACCCACTTGGGGTTCCGATCATTTCGGTCACTGCTATGGTTCCCAGCATCGGGAAATGGAAGCGTAGGCCTATGTTTGGATGCCAGGTTTGGATGCCAAAATCTCTCAAGCTGACCTCTCGGCCTATGCCATTTTGTATGTTCATGGTGGGGTGTACGCCGACATGGACACGTGGCTCGGTAGTTGGGCGGCCGTTACTGGTAGTCCAACCCATTCAGCGGTACTTTTGTTGTGGCTGGATGCGGCTGGTCGACGTCTTAACGGACATCTCCAACATGATACTCCTGGCAATCGACATATCATGAAATGAAACATCCCCATGTTCCAGATGATATTCCCACACTGTTCTTATACCCTGAGGTAATCAAACATGGTTTGCTGGAGAATTCCTCATAGTTCGATGTTTTTCCCATAAAATCCTTCCTTTACTTCGGAGATTTTCCAGCTTGCCACGTTTGATGAAACCGGAGGGTATCCTTTTGTGATGTTCTGTGGCACCTTGGTGAAACCACTTTTCTGGGCCAACAGCTCCACATTTTCAGCCTGGCTATTTGTCGATGGTCTCTCAACATATTGCAACATCTCTCAACTCTTTGAGAACCAGTCTTAATGGTTTTTATGCATTGCTGGTTGGATACCTATATCAGCCTATATCTATGTTGCTTGCAGCCGCATCTTAAAGCCACATAAAGCCACATGTTTGTTGCTTAAATCATCTTACATCCCATGGTTTTCACGGGGCATCGGCTCAGGATGCCATTGCTTCCTTTAGATCCGCTGATCGATGCGGCCCTAGAAGCAGCCCTTGGGCGCGACCTGGTGCTGTTGCCCACGATCAGCCGGCCGGATGAAGATCTAGAAATTCGAGGCAGTATGGGTGAATCATACAGGAAGGGCCGACCAAAAGATAGGTAAGTTGGTTCATGAATAGGCTATAGTAGGCTAACCTATATTATATTATATATATATAGTCAGTATATATGCAGTATATAGAGAGAGAGAGGGAGATGTTTTTTTTGGTAGATATGTCGGTAGTAAGATGATAGACGTGATTTTAAAACAGCTTGTAGATGATGATTGGGGAGTATCCCAAGATCAGCAGTTTTATGCAGTTTTGGCACAGGGAACAAACATTGGAGAAATAACTTTGACATGCCTTTCTACCAAGTTTCAGGGATTCAAAATATGATAGTGACATAATATAATACGGAGGGCTAATTATTTTAGGTTTTTTTTTTGGATCAGGTTTAGGAATTATTTTTAATACTGTAGAGAATAGAGTTCGCAAGTTGGCAGCAGTAGTGTATCAACCTGAGATGACAATTAAATCGTCACTTGTTGAACTGGGGTCCAACCCATTTTACTCGCTGGTTGTTATTTATGTTGCGCATATATTGTATTGATTAGGGTTTGTTGAAGAATACTGACATTGACCAAAATCCATAGTGGGCCCCAGTTCTAAGTTGGTTTATAGACACCATTCACTGATATCCCCCATAAAACTCAGTCAACCAAGTGAACAAAGCCAAGTTAGGGTTCGGGTCAAATCATTTCGAGCCATCCTCAGGTGTTGGTGGCCTAGAGGAACCCTTTTCCCTGGATACAGACTTGATGGATCATGGCCGCAGTAAGTTTGGGAACGGGAAACATGGATAAATTCACCAATCGATACACACACACAGACATATACAAATATAATAACATAATGTATATATATATATATATATATGTACATACACGCATGCACATGTAAGAAATTGGATCAATGGTTGAACCAAGTGACTAAGCTGTTTTTTTGGAGATCCCCCAATGAGGGCACGAAGCTTGGGGCTCTTCAGTTTTGCCCCAATCTGAAAGCGGGGATCGCAATACCGAAATTCCTATGGGACCATTTACCGGCTGAAAAGAGATGCCAAGGGTTTGACCCATACACTGGTGGATCCAAAATTTGGGAACCTACTCGTACGGTCTACCTGAACTTTCCCGTGGTTTAAATTTATCATGATTTTAATGTGTTTCAATGGCAATGAATCTGGGATGATTTTGGCATAGAAAAGTCCTTCCACCGTAATTTCCAGGTGTCGATCCTGGGTGCAATTCACCCCACCGTCTCCCAAGGGGTCCACCATGGAGAGTCAGGTATCCACAGCTCCGCGCCATCCATTTTTTCTTGAAGCCCTGCGCAGCATCCGAGAATATGTGGTGAAACACAACCAGATTCTGGGATGAAAGCTATGAAACTTGGGTACAGTAATAGAGAGCAATAGACCCAGAATGGACTCATACAGTTGGTCATGTCATTTTTTGCTTCAACGCATCCAACCTTGGGGCGTCAAGCACCTATTGAGATAGGTGCCCAAACTTACCAAAGGCTTTGCAGTTGGTTGCGCCAATTTTCATAAATTCACCAGTTCTGGAGCTGATTTTTATATGTTCTCTTTTTTATGCCACTAAAACACTAAAACTGGAGGTTTTTGCGGGATCTCCATCTTCTTGCAGGACGGTTTGCGGTCGCGATCGCCGTACACCAACCTATGATTTGATGTTTCTGACAGCCTGGGGAAGGCTCAGTATGCTGGCGCGCAGCTGGCAAAATGGGCTGAAGCAATCGCAGCTGCACTTTTTGGAGTCCCTGTTCCTCCGGGAACCAGTGGAGACTGGCTTTGTCTATTTAAGGTGGTTAGGAGGGAGCTGTCAGGAGCTATGGGTATATATATATATAATTTATATATATATAAATATTCCCTTTTCAATGGAGAGTTTTTCAGATGGGAAGCTACTAAGACTTTCCCAACTACATGATAGATGTGTGTTTTTCTCATACTTCTTGTTGTTGGTTGCAAGATGTTGCACATATATATATATATATGATTTTGATGGATTTGTCACATAGACAAAAAAGGAGGGATGACGGTGCCAACGGGACTTTCATGTTGTAGGGATGGGTGAGTCAGCCAGATTCCGGTGTTGGGGAGTTGGGGTCACCAGAACTGAGGGGAAACCAGAACACTGCAGAACGACCCCTACTTGTGGTGTATTCTCTCGTCGTCTCTCTCTCTCCATATTTATCTATCCAATATCTACTTGTCTACCTGTCTACCTGTTGGCCTATCTATCTACCTACCTCCATCATCCTCCATCTATGGTGTCCCCTAAAAGCTCCCCCAAATCAATCCATTGAAGGATAGTTTATCCATATTTTTTCTCATTTGGCGCTGGTGATTCCCTCATTTATATCCATCTTGTCTGGCTTGTTCAGCCAAGATGTTCCACATTTTGTCCAAGTAGATATGGGAGGGATTGTCCCAATAAATCTCCACATTTTGTTCCTCCTTTTCAAACATTCTCCAACATGTTTCAAGAATTGTCACATGTTTTCCCACAATTGTTCCTATTTTCCCAGGAATTTCCATATTATCCAGGAATTACCTTGTCTTTTTGCAAATTTTCCATGACTTCTCCCAGTTCTTTGTCCCGTTAAGGACGCCACCTTGGTCCACCTGGTGCTGCACGTCTTGCCACACCACGACCTCGAAGACTTAGCGGCGCAGCCGCCGCCGCGCAAACACGGCGCGCGCCTGGAGCGGTGGCTGGAGCGGATGCAGCGGATGCCAGGCGCAGATGTGGATAGATGTAGATATGATTATTATATATATATATGATTATATATATATGATAGATGTAGATGAAATTTATTGAATGTATATATGTTATGATTATATATATGATAGATGTATATAAAGTTGATTGAATGTATGATGATGATGATGATGATGATGATGATGATGATGATTGTTAATTAGCACTCAGAAAGTTTCACTCTAGCAGTATATTTAGTATTATTATTACTTCTTTTTTTTTGATATATACACATACATGTATGTGTGTTTTGCCCTCATTATCACAGAAAATGACATTGTAGATGTGTCTTTATGTATATAATATATGAATATATAGTGTATATATATACATATGGGTGTGTGTGTATGTGCCAAGTAATGTTGATACAGTATCGATACAGTAATCATGCCCACTATAGTCACTAGAGTCTGAGCTACCATGAACCATTTGACATCGTTCCAAGATTGATGTGTGATGATGACATGTGCAAGTTTTTTTGAAGGGATGCCTAAGGTCTTAGCTGGCACTGTTCAGGCACCAGAAAAGCGAAGACCTTGCCGTTGCCAGAGGAATATGGTGAAGTTCAAGCTCTTTTTCAGGCAAGTGCTCTGAAATAAAAACAGGTGTAGAACGTGTAGAAGAACATTTGGCCAAACTGTGGTTGTTTTCTTGTCTTGATTGTCTTGGCAAGCTGGCTTGTGGTTCAACACACAGGGGGATGATCTCATCTTGGTACCGGTGGCAGTGAGCCCTGCCTATGACAAGCGCCAGCTACGGGAACTGCATTTGAAGCAGCACCGCACGGGGCACGTGGGGATGGATTGCTGAAATGGGTTGTAATTGGATTATATTATATAAATGATTTTACTGGGTTATATGATTCAGTAGCATCACAAAAAAGATAGAAGTGAGGAAAACAACCTACCAAGATAGTGGTAAAGTTAACCTGTTCTGTCTTTGGGGGCAACCAAACTCCCAGATTTCAATGGGAACATCATCGACAAACAGCTCTAAATGGGGACCTGTCCCCATTGCCATTTTGATTACCGGATGGTAAATTGGATTAAATGGGATGAACTTTGGATTGCTTGCCTTGATTTTCTTGGTATGCTGGTGGTGTGTAGCCATACACTGAGATGTTTTTGTTTGGGGGGGGGATAGATAAATTTCATGAATTTTGGACCTACAGGATCCCTAAAAGATCCCAAAAATATATAAACATATCATAAACTGATGATTACATCAAATTACAGTAACATGTTGGACTTTCGGAAGGGGATCAACGTTAACCAGTTCCATTTCTGGGGTCTTTTCCGGGGACGATTCAGGAAGTGCCGTGACAACAGCAGTTGTTTTCGCGAAAACGTGTCCTCAACGGCGCAGCAGCAGTTCCCTGAACGGGATCCCAGGAACAACTTCCTGCGACTGGGAGGCAATTTGTGAGCAGGGCCACCCATGGCCAACCGAGTAGGGACAGAGGCAAGCGATGATTTTATATATACCCTCTGGTTATTTAACATAGCTATGGTATAGATGGCCCATAGAAATAGATGGTTTACCTATTAAAAATGGGGATTTTCCATGGCTATGTAACAAATAACCAGATGGTATATATAGCCCTCTATATACCCATTCTTGGACACACCTGCTGCACTGCAATTTTCATCAATTTTCACTGACTTTCTGGCACTCATTTGACTCATTCTCGTCTGCTTTTCTATTGGGTTGATTTCGCTCAGGTCAAGGTCTAGTATTTTTACAGGCTTAGGTGGTCTAGCCACATTGACTGAACCAGTGGAGGTGTTTAGCTTCTTGTCATATCCCACTTGAACTGGGTTTGTCCGAAAATGTGCTGCCCCCAAAACGAATGCTTTATTTGGTTATTCATCATCTTCCCACTTGAAAGGATTTCAATTTGCCATACATTGGGCTAAATCTCTGTTTTCAGACCACGCTCAGATGGTTGAATCTTTCAACTCTTCGGGGGGTGACCTGGTGACCAAGGACCCCAGGGGCTATTGGGCAATTTAGTGGATATGCTGGGAATATGTGGGGCAACACATGGCAACACATGGTACTCTATTGTCATATGCTGTATGCCATATGCTGTAGCGTATGAGAAGCTATAGCAACGATTAGCAACGTATATGATGATAGATGATGATAGATGGTAATATACACATATGATAAGCTATTGCAACATATTTATTCATAACATTGTCATTCTATATCAAACATAATGTTCGGAAGTGATATTCCTTTCTGTGAAATGGAATGGGCCCAGACTGCTCACACACACATATAATATATATATATGTATATGTATATATATATATATGTGTATATATGTAATGTGGATTGAACCACAACCCAGAAACATTCTTGAAACCTCACTTTTGGATACTTTTGACTTTTGCCTTGTTTGCTGATGAACCCTCATGGGGTTGAACAGCCCATTGATCCCTATATTCATGGTTTCAACCGCCACTCTTTGCTTAAACACCTATATTTTTTGTTTCATTCCGTATATTTTGGCTATTGGTTGAAAATGGTTGAAAAATGTCAAGCCAGGATTATAGAATAAAACCCTGCTGGACCAATAGGGTCACCAATTCTGACATAAATTCGCCACTATGTTGGCTTCAACCCTCCACTGAATAGTTTGAGTTTATTCTCATCGGTTCACATTCCTGCAAATGGTAATAAACCTGGGATGAATAAATACTAGTATATGATTCCCTTGCTTTAGTGTTCCTAGCAATGATAAACATCTTTTTAGATTACTATCATCGTCAAAGCATCAGTAAACGACAGGTAGAATATCATTAGTTAGTTTTTATCTTAGTAAGCAATAGCCAGTAGTATTACATAATATTGGGTTATTTATGGTTTGTTGTTTGTAAACGTCCCAGGCTCGTCTTCAACGATGACGGTGGCATTTGGGAAGGTAGCTGGACTGCTGCTGAACAACAGCAGTTCCGACAGGCGGCAGCTGCAGCAGCGGCAACCGCACGGGAGGAGTTGTGAGTGCCCAAAGTGGCCGCTTGAATCAGCAATAGATGGGGGTTGGACCAACAAAAAAAGTTGGATATTATATATACTGGTTGGTGGTTTCAAACATTTGTTTTATTTTCCATAATATATGGGGTAATCCTTCCCATTGACTAATATCTTTCAAGATGGTTAAAACCACCAACCAGATATACAGTACATTACAATTATGGATGTTTCACCCAAAGTCATGAGTTTTTTTTTCCAGGAAATGATTGAATAAATGTTGATGATGTTATCGGATGTTATCGGCATCAGCTAGGCTTAACCAACAAACATGGTGGGTTGAAGCAACAAGATGACGGTGCCCATGGGATTTTGGGGGGCAAAAAATGGGTGCAAGACTGATGATTTGATGATGACTTCCACTTGGGAATTACTGATTCATTGATGGATTTGTTAACATACCCTCTGGTAAACTAACAGTTTGCTATTGAAAATGCCCATGGAAATAGTGGATTTTCCCATGAAACATGGTGATTTGCCATAGTTATGTTAGTTTACCAGGGGGTAAATTCCAAATGTTACTTCCATGTTTCCCAAGCATTTGGAATGACAATTTCATGATGATCCCACTTGGGCGATTTTTTTGGGGCTGATTCACCACCAAGCCAACATCTGCAGAATTGGTCTTGGCAAATTGGTGGTCCAACCGGGTTGGCTTTGGAGAACTGTGACTTGTTCACATCGACATTTCATCTTTGTTGAGGCTAGCAATGTTCCTTTGGATGGCCCACATCTGCAGAATCTCTGAGATTGCAATGTGGTGGGGCAAATCCTCTGAGAAGCCCTGGCAAAAAAAATATAGGTTTCCCGCGTGGAAACATTCGGGACAAGATTGAGCTTCATCATGCCGGAAAAAGTCTGTGCAGGTAGCTGGCCGGGTTTTCGCTGAAAAACTCATGGGAGAACCCCTTGGGTATTTGAGAGTTTGATGGGTTATTACTATGACCAGCCAATCTGTGGCCAGATGGCCGTTCAATATCAATATGACTTCATTCTGGGGTAATCACTTAAGTCTTAAGTTTGTAGAGATTTATTAACATCGTTCGCGACTGGAATATCTTTGGATACATGATACCCTTAGTAACCATACTATATACTATTCAAGCGTTATTCCTATTGCAATACCACCAGTCACTGCTAGCACCCCTCTGAGTTACTGTTGCTGAATGAGTATTCATGGTGATACCCCTAGGCTTGTGGAAAAAAATATGTTGATTGTACAAGTAAGCTGACTCCTCACAAGCAGCAAGTAACTGTGAAATGCTACGGGGTCATCCCGATACCCCTACAATCAACTTTAGTTGGATCGAATATTATCCATTGCTCGGCTGCAGGTTATGTTTGATTGTATATATTGTTGTATCCTGTGATGAAATATATAATTATATAATGCTATTCATATCTTTCATATTAGAGAAGCAGGAGCTTTTTTTTGTTGCTTATAGCCTCCATTGATCCATCCTTCCTGGGACACTAAACTGTGCACCAAGCAGCGACAGTTTTTTGGATGGTTTTGACGACACAAAAATCCAGGGGCCAAAAAGATGGTCTGTTGATACCTGGAAGACAACAGACTTATCATAGTTGTCCCATACAAAGTAATGTTTATTTCAACCTTATCTGCAGTCCTTATTAATCATTCTGTATGCAGGTTAATAAGGTTTGACAATTATTTAATCTTAATATTTGAATCATGAATATATGCACCGTTATAGTGTTTTTGTGTTCCAATGAATCTGTTAATCACATGGTTGAATATCAGGCAGGTAGCAGCCTTGATCGACAGGACCGGGAACCCTTTACTTCCACCGGCTTTGTGGAAGACTTTCGCTTCCCGAGCCTCCAAGCAGCTGCGGAGGACCAGAGCAGCATGAACGGAGCGCCTTGAGAGATGGCTGGGTTGGTCTGAAAATCGGCGACCCCAAATTTGATGGTGAACATTTAGAACATTCAATGGATATTTGGAAGGTATAAAATGGATATTTACTCAGCATGTTCCCTATTAAATGGATATTTGGAAGGTCCACGGTCTACCCCATTCTCAGACAGACCCAGATGAGGATCATCCAGTGCCGTTTTGGAGGTGTTTAATAGGTGTATATCATGGATGCGAATGGGATGATGTTTTTTTCAAAACACCAATATTTCTGGGTTGGGTTAAACAAGCATGAGCGAGTCAGATTGAGATCAGGTTGGAGGTGTTTGTCCTTTATAGCTATATGAATCCTCTATAAGAAGCAGGCTTTTGGAGGATTTTGGGATCAAGTGTGGGGATTTTGAACATCACTTGATAGTTGGATGATGTTCAATTAGCAGATTTACCAACCCTTGTTTGAGCATGGGGATGCGTCAAATGCATAGTTTTTTTTTGCTGAGACATCCCCAAAGACGAATGGACTAGAGTCTATTTGGGGATCAAATTTGCAGCAGAAAAACCATGCAGCAGTAATGCCTTAGTCCCGAAAGCCCTGTAGTGTTTCCCCAACTTCAAACCCTTAAAGTTGGAAGGATTCGGCTATGGTGGGTGCCTGAGTAATGGATTTTGTAACAATGTGAGCTAAGTCGACTATGTCTATGCTTTTCAAGATGAATATCAGAAACCCATCACATATGTATATCACGTGTATGTGTTGCATATGTATACACTACATTGTTACATGCATATGTGCCATTCTGTACATATATGTTGTCTAATTACAATAAATATACGTATATGCATATATATATATAATCATATATATATATATTATATGCATACTTATGTTTATAATCCAGTATTTTATGTTAATCATTCTTGTACCCTACATTATACCATCGCTTTCTGAAAGTCCCAGGTGCTTTGTGCTGTTTTCGCTGGCGATGGCGACATGGTGCGGCTTCTGGTGCAGCAACGAGCGGATGTGAACGCGCGGCTGCATGGCTTGTCGCAGCTGGGTGCCATGGCGAAAATGTCCTCGAGGAATCGTAAGTGCTTTAAGCCTATACTCCATCTGTTTTAAGTTATGTGTTTGCAATGTATTCTATGTATATATATATAATATATTATATAAAATATGTACATATTATATATAATATGTATATTATATATAATATGTACATATTATATATGTATACATAGGGAGAGAGCTATACACATGTATTTGGTTGAACTGGTGAATACTGGTTTAGCATTGTTTAACAATTTTCTGTGCATATTGTGCTCAATCGCTTAATACACCAAGATGGCAAACATTGCTAAATAGCATTAATTGCCGTACCCACCCGCATTTACCATAGGATTAGCCATAATGCACCAAACCTAATGCAGTGGTAACCCCACCCAAAAGTAGTTTTGGATAAATCATATCCAGTGGGGTTTACCACTAAAAAAGATTGATAAAACCATTTGGTGGAGCGTTGGAATAAGCCTCCATATAAACACAATATTTACTGTATGTACTTTTTTACTTACTTATTTATCTTAATATGCAAATATACATACATATATTATGCGTATGTGTGTGTGTTTGTGCATGTTCTACATCTCCGAATTCTAATGAGTAAATCACCTAGTTGCCGATCCAAATTACCCTTGGAACATCCAGGGAGTCTTTTTCAGGATCAGATGGGGTTAACCAATGAAGATGTGAACAAATGTTGTGAACAATTTGGATTTAGTCCAAATATTTCGTGATTCCAAGAATGATCCCTTAGCTAAAACAGTAGCATGGTCACGTGGTCCCCTGGGCTGGTTTCTTGACCCATCCCCATTTATCAGAAACCAGCCAGGCTACTTTGACAGCCAGACACCTTTGATGGCCGCCCTGAAATCGCAGCAAGCGCCTGGTCGGGACGGGCCCCCTATTTTTTAAAACAGATTTACCATGATTTGCCATCCCTTCAATTCTATTAAAAATATCTAGGTTGATTGGTTATCAATTAATGAGAATATGTGAGAATACTACCTGGCTTTGCCATGGGATGAGCTGGGCCCCTGGGCCCCATGGCAGGGATTTCCCAACCTTAAACATCGGGATGGGCCCCACTGAAATGAGTCCGAATCGCACGACTGGTACAGGATTCTGATCCCAAGTACCCACTGATGTACCTTATAGATTCTGGAATTGTTGAATTGTTGGGGCTATAACTTGGCTATAAGGGTATATGTATATATATATATATATCCATGTGGGTTTTCAATCAGGTAAATTGAGTAACCAGTGCAACCATGGTTTGTTCTGTTGGATCGCCCCAGGATCACCGCACCAGGCTATCATTGAAGTATAACCCAAAAAGAAAACATCCCAGTCCCATGATAAGCTTAAATCAGAACAACATCCCAGAATTCCAGAATCTTTTTATTGAAATCCAGAATTATTCTGTCTTTTCCATGCTTAGTTTTCCGTGGTGGTTGCCATCAAAAAAAAACCGCCCCTGGCGGCTCCACCAATTTTTAGGGCGCCTCCGTTGTGTCGGCATTGCTGGAGATGCGCGCGGACACGGAGATCAGATCAAGGAGTCCGGCTGCCGTGGGCGCCAAGCGTTTTTTGGGGCCAACCGTTGCATCCCAAAGAACCGTTGGAGACCGAAGAAACAACAATGACTCATAGAGTTTAATTATGTATATGTTTCCTCCGTCCATATCCATAATATGCATGTATATATATATAAATATATATAAATAAGAATAACAACAACAATAATAATTGTAATAACTCAATATATATATATATATATATGTGTGTGTGTGCGTGTACATGTGGATATATGTGGATGGATGTATATTTATACATATAGATCTGTCTACTGTTTTTGATGTATGGGCAATGTTGAAGAAACAACAACATATCGTAATTGTTTTGGTGGTGAAGGAAACATGTGACTCTAGGTTTTACGGGGCATCAAAGCCAGTTGTAAACTACATCCATACGTAGTTTTAAGATGTAATAAATTTGGGTTGGCTGGCAGGTTTACCAGATCTGCCAGATACATGATAGATTGGGAAGGGAAACACAATGAAAAACCTGTGTAATTTCAGGGACGCTCGAATGGGTAAATTCATTATGAAACCTTGGACTACAGGCAAGTCATCCACACACTAGCTTTTAACGTTGAGGGGTATAGCTAAAGAACGGACCTGAGAATGTGTGTACCCTCTGGTAAACTAACATAACTATGGAAAATCACCATTTTTCATGGGAAAATCCACTATAAATGGTGATTTTCCATAGTTATGTTAAATTACCAGAGGGTATAATATTTTGTTAAGGGGCAATACAAGTAAGTTATAAATATGTGGTGGTGGACCAAGCACAACCAACAACAAGATTGGATAGGAGGAAAACTCACAAGCCAACTGACCCAGCGTCTACATCTGGCCATGGTGAATTCCCTACTTCATCCAATTCCAAGAAGATTTGTTTTTGAAAAATCGCAAGATGTGTCCTTGATTGGCTTAATCCAATGACATACAATTTCTGGATGCTTAACCCCATCAAAATCCTTTTTCTGCTGGAGGACGGCGATCAAATGCAGCTATTTGGTGCGATCCCCTGAGCATGTGGAGGCCTGACGTAAAAACCAATTAACATCATTAACTTGGCACTTGTGGATTAGAATCCCAATATCATTAAATCATGAAATTTCAATCTTTATCTGTTTAAATCTTATATAAATCTTTAAAATCAAGGTTTTTGGTAGTTTTCCAACCCAGAAAACCGCAATTTTTCCCGTTGCTTCAGCCCTGCAGTTGTTGCTGGCGGCCCGGGCGGACTTCCAGCACGGCGGGCCTGGGAAGATCACAGCGCTGGCGGGCGCGGCGGCGTGGGCGTCGGCGGCCACGGTGAAGACCATCTTGGACGCGGGGTGCCTGGGTGAAGGTGAGATGTGCCATGGACAAAAGTTAGATATGATAGATATGATAGGTACATTTGTTTATGTGCGTTTATACATATATATATATAAGTGATATATGTTTATATTTCCATATGCTACATGTACTATAGTTACTATATATACTATATGTATATGTATATATATATATACATATGCTATAATTAGAAAAGTTCCAAGTTACGGACGATGGTCATGGTTAATTAGCATTCACGCCATCATGTCAACCACATCGTCATGTCAACCACCCATCATCAAGTAGTTGGGAAGTGCAACAGTTTGGAAGTTAGATGGTGTCATTTATATATATATATATACATAATATTTATAATAGCAATAATAATTTATAGTAATAATATATATATAATATAATATATATAATATATAATATATATCCATACCGGGGATGCTTATATTTTTATTATATTATTAACAGGGCTTTATGTAGCCCTTCTTTCTTCGGATTCCCATCATGGGATGACCATTTGGCGCTTTGGCGGACCTGCTGGAGCAGTTGACATCGACCCTGATGGGCCATAGCCGGGTGGTTATACTACCCAATTTTCAATGGATTGGTTTAAGGGAAAATCTACAGGAAACCATGGTTTTTACCATCAAATATAGGGCTTTCCTGTAAATTTTCCCTTAAACCAATTCTATGAAATATTCTTGGGATATGAGAATAACTGGAAAATTTTACTACGAGTTATACCAGTTCTATTTTGATGGGTTATACTACCAGTTTTTTTCTACCCTGATTGGAATCCATTGTGGTGACTGGAAAAGCTGCTTTGAGATGAGCAAAAAGTGACTGGTTGGAATAGCAAACGACAGCTTGATGATATGATGATAGCCTTTGGGATCTCACCATGAATGGGTTCTACCATGAAGAATATGGGATATAATTGACAAGTGATGGTTGGTTGATGATTAGTTCGGGGGTACACAAAACCATGTTTTGGGATTATCATAATCCATTATGGGGATCCCTATCAACCAACTAGACAATGTAAGGACCGAGGGTTTTGAACACTGCTCAGATATTTAGTGAGGGCTTGAGAATGGGATTTAGTGGGAATTTTGGAATATAATAACCCTTTTATGGAGATGTAATGGCAATATAATGGTAATATTGCGTTTCTGTACTGAATATAATGGTATAATACAATGGTAAAATATAATGCGAATATAGCAATTGTGGACACGGGGTGCCTTGGATTTTCATGGCATTGTGTTTGGTCAAATTATTAGTTATGATCATGTTCCCAAAAAGAAATGCAGCCCTTATGTAACTATGGGTGTTTATATGATTGGCTGGTTCTGGGGTTGGGGTAATTTTGGATTTGGGCAAACAAAATTGTGTGAATCTGGCAAGTTATTGGGTAGGCTACCTAGGTTTAATTCAAACAAGAACAGTTATTTGCACTAAACTGCCAAACGTATGTGCTAATTAAGTTTTGGGGTGCAGGGTCTCTAAGATTTGCCATGCTGGTTAAGATGAAATCTGGGAAGGGATGACAATCAATTGCAAGAACACTGTGATTTTTATAGTTATGGAAGCTCAATAATATTTGGAGATTGAATCAAATTTTAGCCAACCAAAAATAGGGACTTCACATGATTTAATCCGAAGTTCATCAAAATATTTGTTGTCTCATATTGTCCCTACCTTTTCGTCTACACCAACCGGTTAACATGGAAGTTAATCATCCAAAATAAAATGGTGATGGCCCCTATTCTTGATGGTAAAACACTTAAACAATGTAAGCTGTAAACCCTAATTTGTGATGCTTAAATGCCCATTAAATCCCAATTTTTCACGGCTAAGTCCCCATCTTTGATGCTTCAACATTTTTTTTTGCGCAGGTACGATCCCAACAGCACCAACGCTGAAGACAGTGGCACCTGTTTGGGTCATGGGCTTAGAGGACACCCTGTTTTTTTGACCCGGGGGGGACGACCATTGCTATGAAAAATGCGTGAACATTGCCCCTTTATCGGAACATATGAGAAAATCGCCTATAAATGGAGGCTTGAATGGGAAAATCAACTGTAGATGCTGGATTTTCCACATCAAACTGTTGAATTACCAGAGGAAACCATAAGTTCCAAGGGAAACCGCATGAGTTTTGCTGAAAATAGATATATAATTATATATATGTATATTGTAATTGTTAAGACGTGTTTAGACTATGAATTAATACTGGCCGCTATTGGCTGAGTTGGGGAAGTCCAGAGTTTTGGAACACCCACTCCCGTCAATGAGTTTCCACGGTTCCACGCTTTCAGAGCAGTGCTAGGAAGGGACTTCCACCAGCGCATGACTTGCTTGTGGTTTCGAATATAGTATGTTTGTTTCCATGATTTTCCACCCTTACCAGGCAGTGTTTGGGACGATAAGGTGACTCCCAAGCGCTAGCATGGTCAATTAATGACTACTCCGGATTTCTTTGAAAGTGTTATTGTTATATGGGCAGCGAAACAGCCAAATTAGTTGATGCGTATCTTCCATTTGTGTAATCTCTGAAACCGGTAGGTGATTGCCAACTGGCTAGTAAGCCTAGAGAAACTGGCATATATCAAGGGATATGGGGCCCAGTTGCCCTGGATATGCACTCCATTCAGAACACCCGTGCTGAAAAATATGCCTATGTACGAGCTATTCTATTTGTTGTTGTTGCTTATATTACTGTACTGCAATATTACTGTTTTTGCTGGTAAAGAAAGCCTTCGAGCTTCTGTTCAGATGCTAGCTGGTAAACCTTGCCGTTAACGCTTGCCGCAAGGTTCGCTGATGAAGGAATTGTTGTGAGGGAATATCATCTCCTACTATTCTACAGTACAGTATAAACACTCCGTTAGCCAAACATGGCAAGTGGAAATCCCCAAACTTAATGGAGGTGTCATATAATTAATGGGGAAATCATTTTTAAATTTGGTATTTTCGGCTGCCAAGTTACTGAAGGGTAATTTATCTCGAAGTTTTAACAGGATCTCAAATTTTGGGATGTTCCATCTCCAAGTAAGTTTAGCATGGCATCATGGTAATGTCAATTTTGAACTCAAAAAAAATAAGTCTGGTTGATTACATCATCTATGATGACTTATCGGGGTTCCTGCCGAAAATAATCCCACACCCCTACTGTAATACATCCTAATACTATATAGGGGTATTGAATGTTAAGGGATTGATCAGATCTTGCCATTGATGGCGAAGTCTTTGTTGCAAGATATCTCCAACAGTAGCCGGGCGAGTTCCAAGGTCACACCCCTTTGCACAACCTGGCGATCCACTCCCGCGACAATCCTGAGGCGCTGGAGCTTGCTGGGAAAACCATAGAGCTATTGCTGGGGGATTTTCCAAGCCACGTTTGATAACACCGGAGGGTGTATATATATATATATATATATATCTGTGTGTGTGTGTGCTAATAAATGACCAATGTGTATGACATACATATTACATATATGCATATGCATATACATGTAATATATATATAAATGTATTTATTTATTTATTTATACATGATTTACCGTAACTGGCAAAGATGGATATCCTGGTTGGTGGTGTCAGTTAACTCACGACCAGGTCATCGAATCAGCTAAGCTCTTGCTGGCCTACAGAGCCAATGTGCGGCTTGGTCGACGTCGCGGTGAAAAAGCGCCCCTACAATGAGGAGGATTGAGGGCGTTTGTTACCAGACATGGTTTTCCCTGTGCTAAACTAAGATAAATCTGGAAATCCATGCGTTTCCTTATAAAAAATAGCTATAAATTGTTGGATGTTCATGGGTTTTCCATACCTATGTTAATTTACTGGAGGGTGTTTCTGCTTGTAAATGCCACGACTTGCCCTTCACTTCATTCTCGTGGCCTGATATGTGTGTTATGCAGATGCACATCCAACTCACCAAAAGCCAGACGATTATTGCCGCCAAATTGTTTTGTTTTTTGTTGTCTTTGGTGTTACTCAGCTAGGTAAAGCAAAATACTGTATGTGCACTTATATTTTCCCCATTGGCTAAATACTTAAAGCATTAACATACAAACAGTTGGTTCCTGTCGTGCCACATCGGTATCCGAAGATCAGCCAGAAATGGGTTGCGGGTTGCTTCCCTTTCCCTTGTCATGGCAATCCCATCACATCTGCTTGTCACATTTGTCACTGTTAATACCTCGCTGAATGGAATGATACCCTCTGGTAATGCACCAGAGCTACGGAAAATCACCACAGATTTTGATCCATTCTTAGTACAGTACTAACTATCTACCATCTGGTCATTAAACATAGCTATGGAAAATCCATTATAAATGGAGGTTTCTAGCTGTGAAAATCATCTGTAAATGGACTATAGCTGCCATAGCTAGGTGAAGCTTCCAGAGGGTAAACCACTTTGTTTGTGACATCCAATAGCTGTGGCATTTGTTGAACTACATGGACCTAACCAGCCGACTTCGCAAGGGGAACCATCCCAAAATTGGGCAGTTTAGGCTAGTGAAATATGACTGATTAATCAATTGATTGGTTAGATTGCTAATTAATGCTAAATAATCAATGAATATTAGTTATCTAATTTTTGATCTCTGAATTACGCATAATTTCTTACTCCAGATATAGAAGTGGGTCACTGATACTCAAACGTTCGTTGCACGGCCCAGGAATGCCCGGGTAACTCCCAGCTATTTGGCAGCAAGATGTTTTCAAATTTCCCATGAAAAACTTGCCATGAATCCTATTTTTCACTGGATTGGTATAAGGGAAAACCTACAGGAAACCATGGTTTTTACCATTAAGATCATGGGGGTTTCCGGTTAAAATTGTCCCGTAAAGCAATCCAATGAACTTTGAGGCAAGGATCATCAAGGATCCATGTTGAGAAACTCCTTACTAGTTCCCTTCCAGACCACTTGAAGGTTGGAAGTTTCAGATTTGCGAACCACCTGCAGCATGGTTTGAATCAATCTTTACCACACGAAATACCCATTGCTCACACGTATATGTTTAAGAAAATTATGCATGATGCATACCTGAAGCACTTGGAAATTGGCTCAGGTGGACTGGCGAAACTGGGGAGTGCCTTGGCACAGATCTACGGGAAAGTCAAGAAGAAGCCCTCCAGACAAGCAGCTCGCTCAACAGAAGGTGTCGAACATTGGCGAGCGGGGCGAACAGAATTCATATACAACACGGCTCCTGGAATGTCATTTTTATTGCACTGGTATAATATTACAACTGGTTGTTGGTTTCAAACATTTTTTATTTTCCATAATATATGTCCTTCCCATTGACTAATATTTTTCAAGATGGTTGAAACCACCAACCAGATTACAATATATTACATTTTTGCGTGTAAATATGTGTAAGAAGATGTCCTGTATTTTGCCATCAGCATTTTGAATCCGGGGATTGAATGAGGATGTGCGTAGATGTGTTGTGTACGGGATGCAGTATGGCCGCCATGGCCTTATTTGGGTTTACTTCCCAACATCTGCTCCAGGTGTTTTGGTGAAAATCCTGTCACATCCCGCATGTTTGTTGGTTAGAATGTATAACACTCTCACTCTCACCCTTGTTTATTGGATTGGTAAAGCTCCTTTAAAAATTCCAATGTTTGTTGGTTGAAGATATCGAAAGCCTTTAAGAACCTCCATGAAATCCCAATTGCCATCCGCGGAACAACTTACCCTGCCAAGAGCCGGGGGTTGGCAGGTGGAAGACTCAAGCTCAAGATCCACAAAAGTCCAAATATGTGTTGCTTGAAGATTCTTGAATATCAAAGAGTGTTAATAATATTTAATAATCACCACACCCTTCCAAAATTTGTTCGTTAAAGATTGTTATAAGGTAGGCCCCCCAGTTATAAGTTGCTTTCTAAACCCCGTCAACTAGTTCGATACATCTACCATAAACCCAACATTGAACATCATTGAACACTCACTGAACCAAATGGTGCTTGGCACCGACTTAGCTAACATTTATCAGCTATATAAAAGTCATTCAAACATCCATAATTTTCTTGGTGGGAACATATTGAAATCCCATTAAAAATCATTGAAATCAAACAAAACATTAAAAACCCTATTGAAAACTCCATAGTTATTTTTGTGAAAACCCATGTTTATACCATTTGCTGGCGAAACAATGCCATCTTTATCCAGCCTCCACCTAAGGTGCAACACCTGGCAGCCTTGCCCGGCTTGACGCCACTGGGGGTGGTGGCATGGTCGGGGCACCAGGCGCTGCTGGGCTGGGCTCACCACTCGGATTCGGCTCCCCGGGGAATTCTCCAAATTTATGGTGATTTATGGAGATTTGAGCAACAAACTAAGGTGGATTTATGGGGATGTAAGCAATAGACACTTGGATTGATTTGGATTTGTTGGAATTTACCTGGTTGAAAGACACTTTATATAAACCTTTGGCATCTTTTCCTACATGGCAGCACTTTCTAACGTGGTAAGCTCAATCATGAGCCTCCACTTTTGGATGGCTTATAATCTATCCGATCTATTCAATTCCGCAAGGTGGTTTACCGACAGGTTTATCACATTATAATGTATGAGTAATGATCTTAATATGATCTTAATTAAGAGTCAAGATTGTCATTTTGTGGTATGCAATTTTTTTGATACCTATATGCAGGACAGCTCCATTTCAAGTCCAGGTTCCTGCCATCCCGACAAAGCCCAGGCTCAAATTGGGGATTTGACCAACAGCATTTCTCAGCCAGTCATCACCTGGTATTGTCGCAGCAATGGCAAAAGCCAAGAAATTGAATGGAAAGGAAATCTCAAACCATCCAATGTGGGTGAACCAATAATAAACCATCCCCCAAATCACCATTTTTACAGGTGGCGTGAACCATTCCCAAATGGGTGGTTTATGACATGGTTTGACCCACATTAGATACAGTAATCCCATGTAATCCCCGTCGAAATGGGGGTGCTACTTAAAGGGTCCCGGATAGTAAGTGGTGAGTAACTGGTGTTCATCCATGGGATATTTCGAAGGGGATGTACTAACCATGTTGATTAACCAGTTACCCTTTGGTAAACTAACGTAACTATGGAAAATCACAATTTTTATAATGGGTAAATCCACTATAAATGGCCATTTTCAATAGCTATGTTATTTTACCAGAGGGTACTAAGTGGGATGATTCTACAAGTCACCGTGTCGATACCAAAATATAGTTTAATTTTGGATGCTTGGGGGTACCTCCATGACTTAGGAAACCTCCATATTATCTTTTATATTTTATGGTTGGTGATTTTTTTTTGTAGTAACCAATGGATATATATATATACACTAAAAAACAATAGTAACAACTATATAACATGTATATAGGTATATAAAAGTAAATATGGTAATGCTCCATGGGTTTCCATTACCAGGTTAGAAACACACCCGTTGCGGTTTTAAGTCCCTTCCGGCTTATTTTTCCGCCAGGAACTGGCCGAGCTTTTGCTGGAACATCATGCAGTCACTGGTACCCACTGGTACCCACTGGTTGATTTAGCCATGAAAAATGGTGGATCAAGGCCGCAAAATCCATAAAATAGCAGTGTCTTAATACAGGAACATGATGATGACCCGGCCTGGTAAACATACTAACAATCTAACATAACTATGGAAAGATCCACCATGTTCAATGGTGAAATCCACTATTTCTATGGTAATTTCCAATAGCTATGTTAAATTACCAGAGGGTAACCAGTGGATTTGGGGCTATTCTTTTTTCAGACAAACCCATATGACCCAGCGGGCGGTTGCCTGCTGAAATTGGAATTTGACATTATGAAAACCCAGCCAAAACGGGATATTGCTTTACTACTGATGGTAGTGATGATCATGCGATTGTTTGGGTGTTTGACCCCCCAATTAAAGGCAGCCAATAGATATAGAACTTGAATGCTATACCAAACTGGCCCCTATACTTCCCGCAAGGGACAATATTGGTTTTGCTTGTGGCCTTCTTTCATGGGTGGGGGAATGGCGGCACAATCCAGTGGATGTGCTATTATTTTGCTTAGGTTCAAGTTTCAACAACTATACCCAAGTACTTTGATATAACACGCATGTTTGTTTTTTGGTTTTGATGCACAGTGTGCAGTAACATATAAGATATTTATGTTTACACAGCAGTAGATTCACACATGATTTTCGTACCTGGATGAAATTGCATGAGTAGACTTCCAACAGCGAGTGGACGACAGAATTTTCAATCATATCTTCACCATCACCAACTCCGTCCATGCTGGAGAAATCGTAGAGAATCAAGCCATCCTTAGGACTTGAGTATAGCCAACGAGCAGGGCTTCGCACCTCTGGAGCTTGCGCGAGGGTGGGAACAAAGTCATTTGATTCCCTTGTGCCTCGGCGAAAGATGTGGAAATATGTGGAACTAGTTGGGGAATGTGGCTATGGCTCAAACAAATTGTCAACTTGCCGGAAGATTAGCATGCTTTACGTAATTCAGTGTGAGGAGATGTGAAGCTATTGGAAAGATTGTCGGAGTGCATTAGCCGATCGTCGATCATGACATGAATTATGGCACTGAATTCAAGCAGGGCCAAATTTGCAATGTCGCCGGTAGATTATACATATTGATGCATATTGACGATTTGGAACCGTGCATAGCTAAAATGATCTAAATGCATGTAGCCACATTGAACACATCTATGAAAGATGTGAGGGAAGAAGCTTCCATGACGCAAGGATCAGGGCAGTGTGCAAGGGGCGTTTGCTTTTGACATAGGTAAAGGTACGGCCAGTTGACTAAGATGGATTTTGTCCATGACGTTATTGTATGCACGTTGTGTGGGCTGCAGAGCCGGGCGAGTTTTTGCAATCGGTTTCAAAGCCAAATTCTATATATATATATGCATATGTATATAATATGTATGTTTGTTATATGTATTTATACATATATATTCTATATGTATATGACACATTGATACATGCAAGTGCTGACTCTCATTGGTTTTGGTATGGACAACCAGATCAATCGCCGTCAAAAGATGGTTGAACCATTCAGTTTTGCGGTGCCCACCATGAGGTTTTCGACCTTCCACGTCTAGCCACCTGCGTGGACATTGCCATGGCAGGGAGCTGGTGTGGATTTGTCTGTTGGAAGATAGGCCATGATTGGACTGTTTCATTTTACCCTCTGGTAATTTAACATAGCTATAGAAAATCACCATTTTTAATAGGTAAACCATCTATTTCTATGGGCCATTTTCCATAGCAAACTGTTAGTTTACCAGAGGGTACCGCTTGGAATGTCGAAAAAAACACAATAGAGTGAACCTGCTATAACTTGTCGGAAGTGGGTTTCCATGGTGAACGTTCAGGTCAGTTCCAAAGCATCCCCAAAGATATTC